CCTGACAGTGTTTCTCCCATTTCTATGTCCCTTTTTGACTTCTTCCTAAACCCATCTCCAAGATGTCTTCTGTCCTCGTCTCCTTGTCTCTTCTTCTGCCTCTTCTTTGTCCTTCTCTCTCTCTCTCTCTGTCACACACACACATTCCTGAGTTCATTCAGTGTTGTGTAATGGAAGGATCTTGGTTCAAATCCCAGTTTTATTGTTTATTAGCTTTGTGAAACTTAAACTGGTTGTTTAACCTTCCTGAGCCTACTTCTGCATTTATAAAATATAATTGCTACCTTGTAAAATTGTGAATATATGACGGATGCCTAGCACTGTGCCCACTACACAGTACACACCTGGCAAATATTAGCCCCTTTCATGACCTCAGCTATTACTGCCGTCTTTAGCCCAGATCTTTCTCCTGAATTTCCAATCCTTATCTAGTTTCCTTTTAGATAATGTCTCTTAAATCTTACACATGTAACACACATTCGTGGAGATTAAATTACATTTGAGTGTCACTGTAGGCCAGGCATCCTGCTAGGTGCTACAGATGAAATGATAAAAAGCGTCCATGCCCTTGAGGAGCCTAAAGTCTGTGCAGTGATGGAGTTATACACAGAATGCTATAGAAATTTGGAGGAGCAGGTCTTCAGTCAGCCTAAGAAGAGTTAGACAAGGCTTTCTGGAAATGTGAAGAGCTAAGCCTTAAATGATGAATACAATATTAGCCATTATCAGCAAGAATGAGAAGGAAATTCCACAGAAGAAACACCATGAACAAATGCATAGAAGCTATGAACTAGCAATTTTGAATTTCTAGAGAATTTAGAGAGAGGCAGACAACACTGGGAAGTGAGGCTAGAGAGGTAGACAAGGGTAAAGACAATGAAAAGTGTTAAATCCATGCTTAGGAACTTGTCTTTTATCCTGCATATATTAGGAGGAACCAAAGGAGAAAATGACACAATTAGCTTTGCAAAAATTGTGATTTTTTTTTTTTTTTTGAGATAGTGTCTCGGTCTGTCATCCAGACTGGGGTGCAGTGGCGCAATCTCGGCTCACTGCAACCTCCACCTCCTGAGTTCAAGCGATTCTCCTGCGTCAGCCTCCCGAGTAGCTGGGACTACGGATGTGTGCCACCATGCCAGGCTAATTTTTTGTATTTTTAGTAGAAACAGGGTTTCACTGTCTTAGCCAGAATGGTCTCGATCTCCTGACCTCATGATCCACTCACCTCAGCCTCCCAAAATGCTGGGATTACAGGCGTGAGCCACCGCACCCCAGGCGTTAGCAGGCATTTTTTAGAAGAAACACAAACAGTGAATAAATACTTGAAAAGATAACATTATTAGAAATTAGAGAAATACTAATAATATCATTGTGAAATAATATTTTATATCCACTAGATTGGTACAAATTAAGAAATCTTGGTAATACTGTTAGAAAACTTATCCCTATCAAGTCTTGATTAGCCTAAACATTGGCTAATCATTTCAATAATTCTTCCTTCCAGTGTAAAAAAATAGTTTACAAATTTTTTTTTTTTTTTGAGACGGGGTCTTACTCTGTCACCTAGACTGGAGTGCAGTGGCACTGCACTGCATGGCTAACACAGCTGCAAACTCCCAGGCTCAGGCGATCCTCCTACCTCAGCCTTCTAGGTAGTTGGGACTACAGATGCATGTCACCATGCCCTGCTAATTTTTTTTTTTTTTTTTTTTTTTGAGATGGAGTCTCCCTCTGTCATCCCGGCTGGAGTGCAGTGAGTGGCATGATCTTGACTCATTGCAACCTCTGCCTCCCGGTTTAAGCAATTCTCTGCCTCAGCCTCCCGGTGGCTGGGATTACAGGCCGTGCCATCACGCCCGGCTAATTTTTGTATTTTTAGTAGCGACGGGGTTTCACCATCTTGTCCATGCTGGTCCTAAGAACTCCTGACCTCATGATCCGCCTGCCTCGGCCTCCCAAAATGCTGGGATTACAGGCATGAGCCACCGCGCCCAGCCACCCTGCTAATTTTTTGAAATTTTTGTAGAAATGGGGTGTTGTGCAGTGTTGCCCGGGCTGGTCCTGAACTCCTGGGCTCAGGCAATCTACCGACCTCACCCTCCCAAACCAAACTGCTGGCATTCATGGATTTAATGTTACTGAGTTTTAAACTCAAACTCCATCTATGGTGAGGCTGGTGTGCTTTTCTAGTAAATGAGTCTAACCAACCATGTGATAGCCATATCTCAAGCAAGCTTAACTGTTCTCAACATTTTATGGGAAAAATTATATATCACTGTGATATTCACAACTTGAAGATTTACATAGGTTTTAAAATATATCATTCCCAACCCCTAGAATCCTTCCCACCCGCACTTCGTGTACATTCTGACTCTCTGGAAGACATATATACCTCTTTTTATGACATTCAAATACTCTTAAGACCTGTATAGCAGGGGTCCCCAACCCCCGAGTTATGGACCAGTACCAGTCTCTGGCCTGTTAGGAACCAAGCCACACAGCCGGAGGGGATAGGCGGGCAAGGGAGTGAAGCTTCATCTGTATTTACAGCTGTTTCCCATAATTTGCGTTACTGTCTGAGCTCTGCCTGCTGTCAGATCAGAGGCAGCATTTGATTTTCATAGGATGCAAACCCTACTGTGAACTGCGCAAGGTACCTAGGTTGCACGCTCCATATGAGACTCTAATACCTGATGATCTGAGATGGAGCAGCTTCATCCCAAAACCACCCCACCCTACCTACCCCCTAACCTGTGGAAAAACTGTCATCCACAAAACCAGTCCCTGGTGCCAAAAAGGTTGGTTACCACTGCTGTATAGGATGTATTCTGGCGAAAAAGGGTTCTTTGCTTTGGCAGTAATGGATGGAAAATAATATATTTTTAAGAGAACATTTTAATTGTCTATAATTAGGGTAAACAGTTGGGTAAAATCTTATTAAAAGAGAAGAAAGTTAAGGTTGTCTTAACAAAAGATATATAATGACATAAATAGTTAATTAAATTTTAATTAAAAACAGCTGTTTTGGAAATCCAAAATGTATACTTCGAAATGATCTACCTAAATAACTTATGAAAATGGATGTTATTGTACAACTGATGTTATTGTACAACTTCTCCTTATAAAAGGTGAAGAAAGGACATAGGAAAGCTGAAAAGAAGAAGGCTAGGTGAAGATACAGGACAAGGAAAAGTCATAAAATGTTTCTACTATTCCTCCAAAATTGTACTAAATATTTGTGTAAGAATTCTAAGAATAATGGAGTGTATAGAAAGCGGGTTGAAAGAGTTGTGAGCTAAATATCATGTTTCTGTTCTTCTTTTCCATTTCATAATCTGGGAATTTTCACTTCTTTCTTTGCTTTCCTGATATTCTAACCCTATATTTGGTTTTGTTGCACTGGAATTTCTATATAGATCAGAAATTAAGGTAGTTAATTTTTTCCATTGATATATGCGGAGAAATCTAAAGAAAATCATAGAATGAATTTAACTTAAAATGTTTCAAGCATTGAGAAGATACTGCTTTATCTCTACCTTAGTGTGGTGACAAGGATGAACATGTCAAAAGGATAACGATGACCAGGTGCAGTGGCGCACGCCTGTAATCCCAACACTTTGGGAGGCTGAGGCAACGTGGATCACTTGAGATCAGGAGTTCAAGACCAGCCTGGCCAACATGGTGAAACCCCGTCTCTACTAAAAATACAAAAATTAGCCGGGTGTGATGGCAGGCGCCTGTAACCCCAGCTACTCGGGAGGCTGAGTAAGGCACGAGAATCCCTTGAACCCGGGAGGCGAAGGTTGAAGTGAGCCGAGGTGGTGCCACTGCACTCCAACCTGGGTGACAGAGCGAGACTCTGTCTAAAAAACAAACAAACAAAATACATAAATAAAGTTATTTGTTCTCTTCTTCACTTTAGCAATTGATAGTGCAATCACAATGTTCCCACATCAACTAAGATCTTACAATAAAAGAGAACCAGTGCTTTATTATCTTCTCCAAATATCTCTCTGTGTTATGTTTCTAATGAAAATTTTTTGCTGAGTGTGTTCCACATCAGAGGCACTCTTCTTGATTTTTAAAGTGTTTCTGTTGTCCATTTGTTTTGTCCTTTCTTTCGTACTATGTCTCTTTTTTCCCTTCTATCTTTTCTTCATCTCTCTCACATTAACTTTATTTTTCCTCTTTATTTTCTGAGTCATTGACTCCTTTATTTAGAAGTAAAGGATATTATGTGCCATATTTCTTCTAGAATCACTGGAAGAATGAATGGGCCTCTCTCAGTAGTTACCTTACATTAAGTTACGCTTTCTCAGTTATAAGGAAGGACAAAATGAACAATTATACTAACTAAATCATAATCTAAAAGAGTTAATTTAACTTTCATATGCTAAACTTTCAGGCAGTAGCTGAGATTTGACTTAATAAATACTTATATATTATATCTTTATTATTTTATAACAGGCATGGCGATACAGTAATATAACTTGAAAGTGTGTATTCGCATATCCAAATGAATATTGTTCTTTGAAGTATCACTTAGTGAAATTATACCCTCATTCCAAATATGTTGTCATTGTTCAGAACATTTTCAGAAACATTTTGGAATTATGAATTCTTGTCCCCTAGTCAGAGAATTGTTTAGGGGTCACAATCAAAAGTCACTTTGAAGCCATGATGTGATAAAACTGAATTGAAAAATGAAGTAGGGCTATAAGTACTGAGACTAATTTTCTTGTATGATTCATGAGGTGTCTGTGAAACAAATCTCAAAGAAGAGGATCAAAACTCTATTGCAAAATTGTTGAAATTACTGTAGCCTACTATAATAATAGCATTTAAGAAAAAGATTCATTTGGCTATATATGATACATTTGTTTTTCTCTCTATACAGCCATACCTACAAAAGTATTAATGAAAATGTAATTACATAAATAAAACAAAGTAGAACAAGTTAACATATTTGGAATTCTTATACATGCTTTTTGATACATAGGTAATGTATTATATTTATTTATTCGTTTAACAACTATTGGATGCTGACCATGAGTCAAGCATTGACAAGATGCAACAGATACAAGTCCAAGAGCAGATGCTCTTTTTAAAGAAATTCATACCATGAATATATACGCTTATCGTATTTAGGAAATCCAAAAGCTAAAATTAAAATATACATTTCCCAGAAGATAAATAGGATTTAGTGAAATGTTATGATGCAATTATACTGTTTTTCAAAGAAATGACTCTGGAAATTTAGTAAAATATTTGTTTTATGGTCAGTGTGTGACTGAAAAAAATAAACATTTTGGTAGGTATTTATCAAATCTAGCAATTTATAATTCTGAGTATTATATCCATCAATGTGATGAAGCGTCCAAATTAGTTATAAAATCCTATTCTAAATAAACTTCTTCAAAAATGATAAATTTTGAACTTCTGAAGTCCATTTATTTTTTTAAATTCTGTCAGTTTCTGCACAATAATCAAAATGTTAAATGTAAAACATAAAAATGTTAATTGTAACAAATTACATATCTTAAACTTTTCTATAAAAACTCTTCAAGGAATGAATAGAATCTTCTCATTAGTTAGGGTGGTTTAGTATTTTCAGTAGGGTGAACCCTCTTTTTGTAGATGTCATGTTTATAGCAGGTAGTATTCATGAACAGGCAACCGACTGTCTGTGAGTCCACCTAGAAGGATCTGTGATATAAATTTAAAAGGTTTTATTATACAATATTTCGGGTAGATTTTTAATATTGAATGCAACTAAATATGAATATTAATATACTCGTTGAAATAAAAGCTGCAGAATATACATTTTTACAAGTAACATTTCTCATTTAGATAATTTATAAGCAACAAAGTGCAAAAAATTAGACCTTTTATTGCTTCCATAACATTTTAGCATTTGTTTTTAATGCCTCCTGGAGAAGATACTAAGTGAAAAGGGGAAAAAATGGCAAGGGAAAGGGGGTTCATATGATTGACATTTGCTTTGCATTATTTTCATTGTTTTTTTATTAAGATAGTTACATAGCACCTCTTTCCTAAAATTCAGTATAACAGAATATAGACATCATAAGCACGTGTCATTAGTTCGTGAGACAATTTGCTATTTAATCCTTATTTCAAATTGACATTGTTAATGTGTACCAACTAGTTCTCTGATAGACCCCATTTTATTGTTGGCAGTGTAAACATTATAATAAAATAAAAGAATTTTTATTTATTTTATATGCTTTAGAGACTAATAAACCATTTGTTTAATAGATTTGCTTAAAGTAGCAAGAAAAATTATATTAACTTAGTTCTCTGAATCACTAGGTCAAGCAGGTTATAATACTGATCTGCATGTTTTGTGTATTTTTCGTTTTGATTATAGCTTTAATATTAAGCAAAGGAAGATATTTCATCCAGTTATGCACATTCTTTGATAGATTCTTAAGTTATGTATGATTAAAGCAGCTTTAATATTTCAAAATGATTAAGAGTTGAAAAAAATGCTTGTTACCACACTATCATTGTAATTGTATTACTCAGTCCTCTGTAAAACAAGAATTCAGGACTAAGTGAAACTGTTAGTGAAAACACTTGAATGACTTTATTGGAATAATTACATCTATATAACAAAGTTGAGCTTACTATGTTTGACATTGTTTTTCTCCAAAGTATGAATATTAGTTTTAAATCCATATATCAAGATAAGCACTAAAACCTAACAATCTGTTTATCACTGGTTCCACTTCAACCTTACTTTATTTGTGAATCTTGATACAATAAAAGAAATAGTACTTTTTCCCCTAGACAAAATAGGTCCTTGAAAATAGTATTTGTACAATCTAGTTATTCTTATAAGCAGTCAAATTCTAAAAAGAGAATAACCAGAATTTTCAGGGTATCAAGCCAAGTGTACCAGGTGGACTCACTATATGTATTTCTATTTCTTCCTATTATAGCCAATAATAAAATGAGAGTAAGTGAAGATAAATAAAAATGAAGGGTTAATTTCAGGGTAGCAATGTAGTAGTTTTTTATGCAGTTTATAAGCAAATGACATAGGCATCACCATGAGGCTGACTTGATAAAATGAAGACCACTTATAGAAGACAGTGATTTTCAAACCCACTCCTCAGATCCAAACAACTAAGGCTCTAGCCACCACCGACTTTAAACAGAGCAGTTCCACTTGTTAAAAAATCTACCTAATATATGAGGATCATGCTTAAGAATTCGTTTTTAAACCTCTGACCTAACAAAACAAAAGCTATTTACCTGATCCATTTTTAGTGACTTGAATGAAATCATCCTCATTCTCATCACAGCTTTCGCAGTTCGATTGTTGGACTGTTTCTGACAGGCTTTCAGCTTGATTGACATCTTTCTGCTTACTGAAGCTTTGAAGTGCAACAAGACGATGATGTATTGCTGCATACAAATATGCTGTATCTTTGGCACTGGCCTGCGTGAGGAACATTACATTGTTAAGAAAATCATTAATGTTAGCTACATTTTACAGATTTTTAATCTTTCACTACTAATAAGGAAGGAATTACATGGCATAAATCTACAAATTGGTACATAGGTGCTAACAACCCTAAAAATTAAGCAGTAAAAAGACAATCTTGAACTAAATTGCGTCCTAAAATGTATACTTTTATAAGCAATCCCAATGTATACATTTTAAATTGAGAGAGTGAAATTTTGTTATATAAAATTTCTATTTGAATTTAAATTAGTTAAGACCATCCCTCCTTCACTATTTTCACTGTAGAAAATTGTAGGCTTGCAGAGAAAAAAGACTTCCATTTCCTGTCCATCACTTTGCTTGGACATTCCTCCAAACTACATAGCTTTGTGGATATGCTGAGCTCATTAGAGCAGTCTATGGTATTGTACCATAAATACATCAGAAGTTCTTGCTTTTCAATATTTTTCTACACTATTTTAATGGTTGTTATTCATATGAAAATATAAAAATGGTAACAATAAAGTTGGTATAACTTTTACTGTTAAAATATTCTTTTTTTCAATTCCTTCAGTAAAACTGTGGGTTCATGATTAATTTCGTTTATATTAGCAAAATATAGGCAGCACAGGTACTAAATATAGCTTGTTTCCCTCTTCCCTTTATGAATGAGGAAATTATGGCTCAGAAGGGTAAAATGACTTGTCTGAGTTGCTAGTCAGCAAATTGGCTGAAAGTTGAAACCCAGGTTTTATCATTCACATTAGTGGGATTAATGGAATAAATTATGGTCCATAATAGAATAGAATTCTTTCACCTACTAAAACAATTTTTGAAGAATAAACTAATGTCATGAAGACACTCACTAACATCGATAAGTAAAATGTATATTTCACAATCATATTAGCTTTTTAATCTCAGCAGCTTTTCTAAAGTGTACTATTGTTACCATCATTTTGCAGATGAATAAAATCAGTTTAAAGAAGGCTAAGTAGCTTTCCCAAAGATTATACAGTATGTACACTATGCTACATATATGTATGTGTGTATATACTTACACCCAGTTCCATGTATATACTAAAATATAAGACCAAAATGTTAATAGTGACCATCTCTGAGGATGGAATCTAGTCATGATTAACAGGCTCAGTCTCTGGCATGCTACTTTACCCACCTAAAACCAAGGGGGAATCTGGCCCAGAAGACTGGCAAGAGTATTAATACCTTAAATGGTAAATGCGGTTTGTACATCATCTTACCTGAACGTTTTAATACTCAATATCACTTACACCTAACAGTACACTTACTGGTAACTAATAAATTTGGATTTTCATCACGGGCACCTGCAAACTTTTTTTCCATATTACTACATGGAAACCAATTTATTTGTATTGTCACCTTCTGCCTGAACTTGGGTAATCAGTCTTCAGTTGGTCCATGGGGAAATCTAGTTTTTTTGGGGGGGAGGTTGTGGTTTTGTTTTGTTTTTTTAAGGCTTTATTCTTGCCAGCTCTCTTGGGTCTGGATCTTGTATTTGAGGTCAAGTATTCCTCTGCCAGAAACAGCTAAAACTGTGCTCCCATCCTGTTACCTTGGAGATTTACTCATGTCCAGAATTGGAATTTGCTGTTGGACTGGTTGTTTTAACTTGCTAGCTCTGTATTTTTCCATTTCCCACTGGTTCTTTTCCAGTGACCTAAAGCCTTTTTTCAATCTCAGCTTGCAGGATAAGCATTAGGCTTCAAAGTCTGCTAACCTCTTCCTGGGAACCATTCCTGACAATAGTCACTTTGGTAACACAGTAAGATTGTTCACAAAATTTCAGTAGTAAAGTAAAGGGTAGAGATTTGATGGCATGTATCACACAAATGTCTTGGAATGAGTACCAATTGATTACATAGACTTTGGTGTTAATTTCTGAATTTCACATAAAATTTATGTCTTATACTACAAACAGACATAATGAATGGCTGTTTTTGCCAATGGTACATATTATTATAACAAATGAAAAAACAAATTAGTAATTGCAGACATCTATTAATGTAGTAGGATAATCCTCTATCACTGAAATTTCTCACTTACCTGAATTAAAAATACTTTGATGCTATAGTCTTCTAAATCAGTAGCTGTTATTCGTACATTTTTGTGGTTTGCTCTTTGAATCTTCATTTGGGCCCAGAGTTTGCTATTGAGGATCAGCCTTAAACTGCCTTGATTGCGCATAACTAAAATAGGAAGTTGACTACATCAGGCCACAGAACAGTTGACACAGAGGAATTTACCATTTTCAAAAGCAAAATAAATCTTGTAGTTGTTTTTCAGACTGTAGATTCAATACTAACTTGTGATTTGACTAGATTATAACTTGGTTTTCAAATTGTACTTTCTTATGTTGGGAGAACTTTTTTATCTTAAGTGCTGAAATTACACTTTTCTACTGTAATATTTAAAAGTGGTTAAAATTTTAGAACTCTTTTTAAGAACTGATAGTCTGAAGAATATTCGTCTGTGAATTGTTTACAATGAAGAAAACCAAAACAAAAACCTTAAGTGTCCAAAAAAATGGAATTAGTTAAATAAATTATGGTGTAGTCATTCAAGAAAATATTATGAACCCATTAAGAATACTGCAAAAAGATATTTATTGATGTGGAAAAATCATGGTGTAATATGTAAAAGAAAAAAATAGGCTACAAAGCAAAATAAACACCATGAGTCAGAACTTTTACAATCTATGTATACGTTTATATATACAGAAAACAAGGGTCAGAAAAATATATTCTGTTAACAGATGTTATCTTAGGAAGATAGGCCTTTAAGTGATTTTGTTAAAAATTTTTTCAATCCATGCTTTCCAGTTTTTACAATGAATGGATATTACCTGCATAATAAAAAGAAAGCTGCTTTTGGGGTTTGTTTTTTGTTTTTTATTTTTGTTTGGGGATTTTTTTTTTTCCTTTGGCAGGCAGTAGAATCAAACCAGAGTAGTAAATAACTTGCAACTGCCTTGGTACTATTACTTGGTTGGGTGATTTAGAAATCTGCGTGCCTGTTACAGAACTGAAGACACTGTTTCTATCCTTTTAGTCTAAATTATATCTCTTACCCATTTCTTGAGCTTGATATCCAAAACTCAACGAATAACCTTATTCTTGGATCCAGTGTCTACCTGTGGTCTCCTCCAAAGTCTTGACCTCTCAAAATTGACCAATAAATCCATTCATCCTGCCCAGATCTCTCCCTGTGCTGTCTTTCAGTTTGGACCTCTGAACAATGCCCATTGTGTCATTTTGAATGATAGCTCTCTTGTATTTTTAGGTTTGACTGGCTCCAACTTCTGAACATCACTGTGCCTGCAGGATTCAATAACTGCACACCTTGGAAACTAATCTCTTTCCTTAGAGACTAATCCTTCATCCTGACCCCCATCCCATGTCTGGGATGCCCAGGACAAATTATGGGGCAAGTATTTTCCTTTAGAAAAGCTTTTCACTTTACAAAATAATTTGCATCATATTATTTCAAATAATAATAACATTACTATTTAGGTGTGTGCTGGGCTCTGATATAGGTGTTTTACATGCTTTATCTCATTGAATTCTCTCAGTAAGTCCTGAACTACAGTTATTCCCATTTTAAACTGATATAAGTACAGTAGAGAAAGAGATTTAAAAACTTGTCAAGGTCACTAGTTAGTCACTGCTGGAGCCAGAACTGGAGCCCATGCAGTCTAACAGGAGAGCCTACTTGAAATGGGAAGCTCCTATAGAAATATTTTCAACAGTCTGATTTTTTTGGTGTATTTTATAGCACATCTCCAGAAAATGATGTGTGCCTATATTATTATAGGTACACATGAGAAATCCTGAGAAATCGTCGCTTGCTTTACAAAAGGATTCCTTACTTAGTCTTGACTGTAATGTTCCACAGTCACTGCTTGCTGTATCATTCAGTCTCAACGTTCCTCTGCCCCTTTCAATCCAGGATTGTGTTGTTTTGTTGAATATGAAAAGCTTGCAGTTGATCTAAATAACAATTTTTTAAATGTCAAATATATAGAAAATTTTTTCAAGGTAAGTTACTTCCTATGTTATGACACATTTACATGTGTCTGATCTTTTACCAAAATAATCTTCGTTAGTGATTTATAAACCAGCTTTTAACATATATTTAATGTTTAGAAACATATAACTTTTGGATAGTTCAAACATCAAAAAGTAAAAAGACATACAAAGTGAAAAGGGGCCCCAGCTTTTATTTCCCATCTACCAATTTACACCCCTGCAACAAGTAACCACTGGTGTAAATATTTTGTTTATCCTTCCAGAGATATTTGTACATATATACATGCCAATACATATAAATGTTCCCCCTCTTTTTTTCTGTCAGTGGTAGAATGCCATACCTACTTTCTGATTTTTTAAAACTATATATACATCAACTTTTATATTAATTATTTGAGCTATATAATGTTATTTGAAGGTAAAGGAATCATTGAACCATTTGCATGCTTCAAAATTTTCAAAGACGGCATGGTAATGTGGAGAAGTATGATGTAATGCCACAGGTTACCCCACTACAATCATTACTACTGTGTACAAGAATCACCTAAACAGCCTGTTAAAAATACAGCATGTCAGAGCCTCACTCCTAACAATTACTTCAATAAGATTGGAATTAATCTAATCCAAGGGTTATGCTTTGAGACACAGTTAAAATAAAAGTGTCTGTAGATCATACAGGAAGTGGAGAGGAATGGAGAGAGTTTAGAGAAAAGCAGATAGAGAAAGGCAAAGGGAAATTTCTGCCTTGTTGGAAAAAGGTAAAGTTGTAGTAATTACATTTCATGTGCTTGTGCTGATGGTGATACTACTCAGCATTAAAATCCTGTGATACTGTAGTGTATATCTGTGAAATTCTTGAATTACATGAAATTCTAAACTTTTTTAAAGGAAGCTAAATTTATGAAATTCTAAACTTTTTTAGGAGGAAAATAAAATTCTTATTGGACTGAAATCAAGGTATCAACATTGTTAAACCTGTGTAAGTAGAATTATTTAATCACAATAATAGCACAAATTATAAAAGCAAATATTAAAGCAGGATACTTGGCTATCGTATTTCTAAGGGACTAATGTGAATAGTTGTAAAACTAACAACCCATTTTCCTGCAAAGTACACATACAAACATAAGAAGAAAATAAGTTACTGGTGTAATTTTTGAGAGCGTCCAACATTTTTATTTAAGTAACTTAGTCTCCATGAAAACTATACTTCTGTCTGTATTTTTAAAGATGTCTTTTCTCATGTTAACTTTATTCCAAGTATGTAAATGCTGCCAAAAAGAGTAAAACATGATATACAGACCTTTAACACATTATGTTCTGATTCCTCCCCTGTTATAACATCAATTTTCTCCAGCAAGCATTTTCGTGATGGTTGGGAAGAGAATGCAGCAGCTGATTCAGTTAGGGAAGTATTTTTAATGGAGTCTGTTCCTAAGAGAAAATGCGGGAAAAACACTGAAAAGTCCCCATTTTCTCTACTGTGAAAGTTCTTTATTGCCCCTATGACCACATATATCTACTTGACTTTTTCCAATAGTAAGTGAGATTCCAAAAATTCAAACTGCTTGAGTTCGTGTAAAATCTCCTTATCGATTCCTGCATAGCATTAACTCAAAAAATTATTAAAGCTTGTATATCAGATAATCATATTTATATGCTTTAATCTTTACCAAAATATTTGAAACACTGAATTACTGTTTTTTAAAATCTTATATTAAATATTAATTTTACTTATATTAAATATTAATGTTAATAAATAACATAAAAAACAAGACAAACTAGGTGAATCTAATGTTTTACAAATGAAAGAATTCTTACTTGAACTTAAAAAGTTGACAGGAAATTTCGGAGTGGATTTGAATGGTTTTTCCTTGGTGTATGAATCATTTTCAAGTTGAGGCTGGGTGAGTTTTTGAGTACTCTGAGTGGGGAAAAAGATGCATTATTAATTTTATTTAATAAAAGTTTTAATTTTATCCCTATATGTTTGCAGTAAGACCCTTTTGTTTTTCTGTTTCAACACAGCAAATAAGCCCAGCTGGTATGTTTTTATTTTGGACTTTCTGTGTGCTGAACAGAGAATTCATCTCCATTGTTAGAAAGCCTGAGTTCTAATCCTCAGAAAATATAATCTAGTTACCACCAGCCTACTTCAGGTGGGATCTAGTCCCAGAGGCAATGGGAAAGGTCTAAAGGTACAAAAGAAGGTAACAGATGTTCCACACTCTTACTAGACTAAACTGATGCCCAGGAGGTACAAAAGAAAGAAAGAGAATGTGCCTTTGAACACAGGAGTTAGAAGTATAATTCAATTTAATATTACTTTTAATTAATTTACCTTTAGAAATTTAAAGTGACAGCTCTGTATATAGTAACAGAAACATATACCAAAGTATTTCAGTGTCCCCAGAAATTTACTCTTGCTATCCACTTTATGGAAGAAAACAAAAAAGTTATCCAAAGACCCCCACAAGATGTCTCAGAGAACATCTTTGTAGAAAGAATCCTAACTTTTCCTCCCAGACAATTTTTGCCAACAGTCGCTTTTAAGGCTACTTGGGGCTCTGTATGTCTGTTGTAATCAAGGCCTGCACAAAAAAGACTAATTGACATGACATTTGCAATAATGTGTAGCCCTCTGCAAAACACAGAGAATTAGAACAATGATACTTAAGAATTTATGCTTATATTTTTTCCCTTATGAACTGAAAATTATTTCACATTACTTAACTAGACATCAAGATATTCCCTTAAAATTGGTAGAGATGGGTATAATTATTTCCATTTTAAGAAAATAGAAACTGAGGCACAGAAAGTTTAAATGACTCACTCTAAAAACACATAGCCAATAAGCCAAGAGTGCATCCTGGCCCCCAAATCGCAAGGCCAAAAATTTACAGGATTAGAGGACAAACACAAATTATCTCTATAATTCCTGTTATCCTTAAGATATTACCAACTTAAAGAGATAGAGAGTTCAGGTTCCTTTATAAACCAAATTTAAAATGCCCATAGGAAATGTGCACAAGTGCCTTCTCAAACCAAACCTGTAGTCCTGACTATAGTTTATTTGTATAGGTATCTCTCTGTCTGCTCTTATTAGATGATAAGCACCTTTAGGGCACAGTGTCTCCTTTAGCTTGCATAACCACTTACTCAGGTGGTTTTCAAACCTGCCTGTACATTAGAATCACTTGACAGCTGGCCTCACCCACAGGCATTCTGAGCTAATTGGTCTGATGAGACCAAGGGTAAGAAATCCTTAAAAGGATGATTCTAACAGGCAGCCAAATTTGAGATCAATGCTTTATATATCATAAGAACTCAGTACATGTTTGGTAAATTGAGTGGAATGTAAAGTTGATCCTGTGAGGTTTGGAAAGCGTTGTCTGACATTTTACAGATGCTGTGGCTAATCTGGTGTCAAACTTAGAAATAAATGATATGGAATAAATGTGCCTAAATATACTGCCTGTAAATTCATCATGGAGGCTAGTCCGTTTTGGTTCACATCCAAAGGCATAGGTCACAGGTCTAGGATTGGTGAGTTGACCTTCATTTTGGGAATGACAGAAGGGTCCCTAAAATAAACTAAGCCTTTAAAATAACTAATATATGAAAGCCCTAAAAATTTTGGAATGAGTTTGGGCGTGGTGGCTCACGCCTATAATTCCAGCACTTTGGGAGGCTGAGGCGGGTGGATCGCTTGAGCTCAGGAATTCAAGGCCAGCCTGGGCAACATGGTGAAACCTCATCTCTACCAAAAATACAAAAAGTTAGCCAGGTGTGGTGGTGCGTGCCTGTGGTCCCAGCTACTCGGTAGGCTAAGGTGGGGGGATCCCTTGAGTCAGGGAGACAGAGGTTGCAGTGAGCCAAGATCATGCCCCTGCATGATCTGCATGTCAGCCTGGGTGACAGAGCAAGACCCCATCTAAAAAAAAAAAAAAAAAAGAATTGGAATGAACTAGCTTAACGAGTTGGTTCTTTTATTAATCTAAATCCGTACATGAGTTTTAAAATCTCTGCAGCTTCTTTGGGATTCTTCATGTAACTGGTATTCCTGAGACAAGCTAGGCATGTTCAAGCTATCTCAGCCACTTTCCTGACTTGAGTGAAAGCTGGAAAAGATATGAAGATGTGATTGACCAGATAAAACCATAGGCATGGTTTCCCACAGCTTTCACTTTTCTGTACAATTTTCCACTGTAGATTACACTGTCTTAGAGATCAGAGTTCTGTGGGGACCAGAGAAGCAGTTATCTCATTGCAAGAAGATGCTGAGCATTAAATAAGGATGATGGTAATAACAGTGAGGGGTTTTCACTAGGCAAGTAGATTCTCCTAGGCAAGTAAAGCACTATGAATTTTCTCTGAAAGCTAGGGAAAGAAAAGTTATAATAATGCTTTTTGATGTAAGAGCTTGAAAGTAGGGTTGTGGTTAACTAATAAGAACAAACTGGTCGCCGGGCGCGGTGGCTCACGCCTATAATCCCAGCACTTTGGGAGGCTGAGGCGGGCAGATCACGAGGTCAGGAGATCGAGACCATCCTGGCTAAGATGGTGAAACCCCATCTCTACTAAAAATACAAAAAATATATATAATGTATATATTAGCCGGGTGTGGTGGCACACATCTGTATTCCCAATTACTCGGAAGGCTGAGGCAGGAGAATCGCTTGAACCCAGGAGGCGGAGGTTGCAGTTAGCAGAGATCGTACCACTGCACGTCAGCCTGGGTGACACAGTGAGACCCTGTCTCAAAAAAAGAAAAAAAAAAAATTGGCAAATAATTTTAAATGCATCTTGTTGTAAAATGATGCAAACTATTAAAATATCATTACCAATTGAGCTTATCTAACGATTGCAGATAATTCTGGGATTTCCTTGGGTACTTTTGGCTTAACACAAGTCAAAGAACTATTTAATATTTCATATCAGTAATAATGTTATAATTATACAGTTCCCTTCCTCTGTGGGTTTCTATTATTTTAACAACTAGGACATGCTTCCCAGGAGAATCTTTCCAGTTAAAGAAAGAAAATGTGCCGTTGAACTCAGGAGTTAAAAAGTATTATTCAATTTAATATTACTTTTAATTAATTTACCTTTAGAAATTTAAAGTGACAGCTCTGTATATAGTAATAGAAACATATACCAAAATCTTACCAAAACTCTTTCTACCATGTTTTCTCCAAAAACAAAATTGGAACTGCCGTTTTTAAAAGAACATTTATCTTCATTTGGTTGACATCTAAGAAAAAGAAATAAGCATTTACTATTTTAAATACATGGATAAAGCCATTTTAAACCTTGAAATAATCAGATAATTTAATAGATTTATGTAAATCAAATTTACTGCTCATTTTTGTTAGTTTGAATTTAATGAGAAATGAAAGAAAAATTCAAATAGTGGCATCCAGAGGTGATTGTCAAGACAGTTTCCAGCTATTACAGCACTGACAGAGACCAGTCCTGACTGCCTCATGGCCATCACTGCACTGGCTGTGTGGTCAGCCAGGAGGGCTGCCCAACCCTTTTTGCTTTTCCAACACACCCTGTCTAATACCTAATTTGCACTCTTCCCTTCCCCAAGTGGCTGATGCCTTTAGCAACCAGAGATCTCCAGGGCAAAAGCAAAACCCTATCTGTTATAATTGAGTGTGCATTGGCTTAAATTTTTTTGCCTCCCAGAAACGTTTTTTTTTAATGTTAAAAGTGTTTTTCCTGATGAGAAACTTGAAGACAGGAAGCCCTCTCTTTGTAGACAGATGTGCTCAGGGTTCGTCATTGCATCCCCAATGTGCACAGAAGGCACCTACTACCGCACCTGGACAGAGCCCAGTCATGTGAGGCAGTTTATGTCCGCAGCTAGTTTTAATCTCTCAGATCAAACATTTATTCATCACTAGTAATACTAATACATACTAATAAATATGGCAGATTTATACTGCTTTCCTTGTTGTTTATATAACCCATGCCAATAAAAAATGAATAATGCCAAAATAAAAGATAAAAACGCCAGAGAGAGAGGAAGAGAGCCTAATCTACTAACCAGATAATTTATGCCCAACCAAATAAAAGTTTAGCCATACATTTTCAAAAAGTTCTCACCCAAGTCAATGAAACAATGAAGACAATCCAGTATTAATATGATAATATTTAAGTATCAGAAATTTTTAAAAAACATTTTAAACTTGTGTTCCTATAAAATCTCCTTTCAAATGGGAATCTTGGCAGTTTATCCATACAAGGTCAGAGAATTATTCTCCATGATTGGTTATAATAATAAAAGAATGCAAGAATGAAAGGACAACCCTTCTGTTTTCTCATTATTAACTTACCCTACTGATGTTGCACCTAAAAAGTGCTGGTTAGTAGACAGCTGGACTGAAATTCTGGCACTTGATAAGTTTTCACTTGACAAATAGGAATTTCCCTCAGAAATCTGAAAGTAAAGAAATACATCAAAAAGTTTATAAAGACTACCTCACTATAGGACCATCAGACAAGGAAACAATAGTTATAGTTAAACATATTGAAAACTTACTATGTTTAAGTACTGCCCTAAGCATTTTATGTACTATCTCATTTACTCCTTACAACTCTATACACTTTGTACTTCTATTATCCACATTTTACAGGTGAGTAAACTGACACAAAGAACTTAAATAACTTGTCCAGGTCACTTACATACAATGGAGATCTGTCTAATACCAGAATATCATAACATTCAGAAATCCCACTATGTTTTGTTATTTTTGCCATTTTAGTCAAATTGGGTTAATTCTCATTTCTGGATTAGTAAAGCTCACTTTCAGGACTATGTAATCCTTGGTAACACCCAAAAATGTCACCATCCTAGTCACCCAGTGTAAGAGAAAACCCCACTCATCTCTTTATCTTGAAATTTTCAACTGGTAACTTACCCAGTTACTTTGCCTTATGTACATATGTGTATGCACAATACCTGAATTAATATATAAATGTAAGAGTGAGGAAATTTAGAATTGGAAGGAACCCTATAAATTATCTGGTCTAGTATTTACAATGTATTGTGGACACCTTCCTTCCTCGACCAGGGATTTGCAAAGATGTTTCAGTTCGTTCATATCTTTTAAAGCCAGATGGGATATGTTTCCGCTTAAATTTTTATTTCAATCAATAAAAATAATTTTGAATACTTTTTCTTTTTTAACAAGAATTTGAGAACTGACAAATATGTATCAAGAGAGCATGTGCCATGGTTAGCAAAGATCAAAGTACATGCTCATGACCTAGTCACTCAGATGATGTAGCCCTCAGTCGAAATGGTAGCTTTCACTCCTATGTTGGTTAAAATAGTTATTTAGGCATATATTGTTTAATCTATACATATTAAGTAACCATTGATTAATGATAGGATGAAAATAATTTATCTGATTTTGATATACAAGTTAATAAGAAATATAAAGATAATGGTTCTGCAAAATCCACCTAGAGAGTTTTCACCAAATCTTAAATTACATTCATTTAGTCAAAATTCTTACATAGGATCTTATATACAGTGTGTCTCTGGATCTTCAAAGATCACTAAATGGAAAATTTAATGATGGGCGTTAAATTTTCTGTTTAATGATGGGCATATACAGTAAGGATTTTCAATAACTGGAAATAAGGTTTATTCACTAGACCTTATAATTTTCTCAAAAATAAATATAAACAATAGCTTGAAATTTTCTCTTATGCTTGGATCATTTAGGAAAAAAAAATGGAAGAAATATATTAATAAATTTTATTTTAAAAATATGCAATGCAGTGTTTACAAAAATCCTGCCAAGAAAGAAATATTGATATACTTTTGATGTCATAGCGTGTAATTAAAATCTTGCTGTGTATTTATAGTGCATGCCATTTTAAAATGCAATGTAACTTTTTAGAAATTAGTCAACACATTATACTTCCTATTACATAATTTAAAACAAGTTAAACACCGTGCATCACTCTTTTTTTTTCTTTTCTTTTTTGAGACAGTCTGGCTCTGTCACCCAAACTGGTACCATCTCAGTTCACTGCAACCTCTGCCTCCCGGGCTCAAGCTAGGACTACAAGCGCATGCCACCATGCCCAGCTAATTTTTATATTTCTTGTAAAGACAGTGCTTTACTATGTTGCCCAGCCTTGTCTGGAACGTTTTAGCTCAAGAGATCCACTCATCTCAGCCTCCCGAAGTGCTAGGATTAAAAGCACGAGCCACCATGCCCGGCCATATGACTTCTTAAATAAAAGTAAAGAATTATGTAACTTGGTGATAATTATTACATTATATTTAAATGAAAACAGTAATATACTTATCTAAAATTGAAGACATATTTTACTTAAAAATTATTATATAGCATGCATAAATGATGAAATGATTTTTTAAGTTCATAATGGATCTCTCCAAATCATATCTTACAAAGTAAAGGGTTTAGAAATATAAAAATATTGGTAAATGCTGACCAAGTTCAAGTCCCTTACTTTGCTGATAAAAAAAGATGTTGAATGGGTGCTTTGTTTAGCTAAACAAAGATAGTGGCAGAGGCAAGATTAGTACCAAGCTGGTATTTTTTTACACTTGAATGTTTCTGTCCTTATATTCACTAAGGGAAAACAAAACAAAGCGAAACTATGTGACCAATCCTCAGTAGTTCAGCTGGAAACAAATGGCTAAGATGGAATAACTGTCAAATTCCAACCTGCCTATCTTGAGTCCTGTTCCTCCTGTGTCTGCTTCTGCTGGAAGACAGGGGTAGCATTACAGCAATTGAATATATCCCCAAACCCGTATCTGCATGGCTTGTGTAAGTTACTGTCTCTTTAGAAAGGCCTACAAAGAGTGATTCAGACACTACATAGTAGGAAGTTAGAATTCTTATCTGTCTCTAGAGGCTTCCCAGACCCTTCCAATTACACTGTATAGGGAGTTCTCTGCTCCTGTTATACTGGAATATGGCTCTGAAGTGAACCCCTGGTATGACCTAAACTGGCAAAGATACACTGTGATGTTGACCAGTTGACGATGTAGAGAAAATCCATGTCTCTTTTTTGACTACTGACTATGGCCCCTGGCTACCTCATTGCTGTCCCCATTCTCACATAGGGTCATTGCTGTGGCACAAGACCCCCAGATTTCTACTGCCCAGTACTCAGCTTTATAACTTTAGAGAGACCATAGATTTGTGAGACTACAACTCTCCAATGTAAAGTAAGAGTACAACTTTAAAAAGGTTACCAAGGGCTTTATGCTATCTAGCCCAGCAACAAAACAAAGCTCAGGCAACTCCTATTTCTGGATATGGAGGCCCCAAACAACCTACAAAAGGAAGGATGAAGGGTTGAGATCAGTCCTGTTATCCTGGGCTTTCTCACCTTATTATTTGTTTTTTCTTTAATCTTGCAGGATTCCAGTGCCTTGTGTCCAAATGTTTTTCTTACTTTTGTACAACTTTGAGCTTGAGGTAGCTGCAAAATAGCAGGTCTAATAACATGCTTAGAATGTTTCACAGGACCTTAAAAGAATAGAATTAAAAGATAAATATATTTTTAGTGCAATATTCCTTTACTCCCTATTTTTAACTAATATAATTCTTATTTTCTAAAGTCATGTTTAAATGAGGGACTAGTGTTAATTAATCAAAGTCCAAGTAAGCATTGAGTTCCCCAGCACTCACACCTTGCCTAGCTTTTGCCCAATAACTGTTCATTTTGATCATGAAACCTGGCTTACTTGCATTATTTCTGCATGTTTTGTCACTCTGACCTAACTCCATGCCCCCAACACACGCACATATAGGGAGATGAAAATATAGGTGGTAAAATATACAATTTCTGAGGTTCTTGAAATAGAAGCTACATACCTTGTTCAGCACTCTTTATATCAACATTACTTTGCACAAGAGTCGATATCATAAAAATATTGTTTTTCCTCACTGTAAGAAAAAATATTAAAAAATTTTTTAATACAGAAGAGTGTCAGATTCTACACTATTTGGGGCTTAACAACCCCGTTCTGAACTCACCAGCAGATGTCGCAATTGGCACTAACAGAGTACTAGGTAGTGCTCTCTGGAGCACTGGCTCTGCTAAAAATGGGATTGCCGGCCAGACGCGGTGGCTCACACCTGTAATCCTAGCACTTTGGGAGGCCAAGGCGGGTGGATCACCTGAGGTCAGGAGTTTGAGACCAGCCTGGCCAACATGGCAAAACCCAGTCTCTACTAAAAATACAAAAAAAATTAGCCAGGCATGGTGGCAAGTGCCTGTAATCCCAGCTACTCGTGAGGCTGAGGAAAGAGAATCACTGGAAACCAGAAGGTGGAGGTTGCAGTGAGCGGAAATCGTACTCCAGCCTGCGTGATGGGAGCGAGACCCCATCTCAAAGGAAAAAAATGGTGGGGGGTGGATTGCCAGATGCGTCCCGCTACATAGTTCTGTTTACTTTCAGAAATCTAAGTGAAAATTAAGTGACTAGAGAAAAGGCAGCCTTTTTTAGATCTTTAAATAGTGTACTGTCAGAAATTCTACAGACTATAAAATCTGAATTGGTAATGAGCCCTTCAGCATTAATATATAGCTATTATAGAATATTATAAAACTGTTACCAAAGTTTGCCCACACTCCCTGACTTTTTAATGAGTATACCTGAAAAAAGAAGTAAAGATGACAAATGTGCTAGGTTATTTTTCTACAAGCATGTTGGTGGGGTAAGACTGTGGTGATGGCTCCAAGTATAGAATTTCTATACATTTCAAAGGGATCTCCTCAATTGCAAATTGCAGAAACAGCAACCTTTGGCATTTAATTAATGAAGATGAGAAAAGAATAATTGCTTCTTCAAAGTATTCTTTAAGGTGTTATAACATAAATGTTGGGGTAGAATCCCTTCTTTACTTCAGAGTTCAATTTAATGTTTTTTATTATCTTTTATTACTGAACATCAACAAAAAATGAGCCATATTTTTCTCCTGCTGAACACCACTAACATTCTGCACAAGATAAAACAGAGTGATGCTTTCCTTTGTGTGTGTCCAGTAAAAAATGAATTAAAGCAGGTGCATAGATAACTTAAAGCCATTCCTTTGTTTTATGAGTAAATACAATAAAACAGAATACCTTTGCCTCTGGGATTAGGATCTCTATTTCTCTTTTTTTTTTTTTTTCTTTGAGATAGAGTCTCTGTCTGTCATCCAGGCTGGAGTGCAGTGGTGTGACCTTGGCTCACTGCAACCTCTGCCTCCTGGGTTCAAGCAATTCTCTTGCCTCAACCCCCCAAGTAGCTGGAACTACAGGCATGCAACACCATGCCCGGCTAATTTTTGTATTTTTAGTAGAGACCAGGTTTCGCCATGTTTGCCAGGCTGGTTTCGAACTCCTGGCCTGCAGCAATATGCCTGCCTTGGCCTGTCAAAGTGCTGATATTATAGGCATGAGCCACCACACCCGGCCAGGATCTCTGTTTATCTTAATGTCTGAGCTTGTCAGTCAGGTTAGAAGGGTTAGAGACACTAAAAAGTGTCTCTTCTGCATCTGAAAGGTACATGACTGTTGCTCAGTCATGCCTGCAGTTATTACTAAGAATATAGATTTATTCATTGAAAAACTCTGTAGTTCAGGCCGGGCGTGGGTGACTCAGGCCTGTAATCCCAGCACTTTGGGAGCCGAGGTAGGTGGATCACGAGGTCAAGAAATCGAAACCATCCTGGCCAAAATGGTGAAACCCCATCTCTACTAAAAATACAAAAATTAGCTGGGCATGGTGACGTGCACCTGTAGTCCCAGCTACTCAGGAGGCTGAGGTAGGAGAATTGCTTGAACCCGGGAGGCGGAGGTTGCAGTGAGCCGAGACCGTGCCATTGCACTCCAGCCTGGGTGACAGAGCCAGACTCTGTCTCAAAAAAAAAAGAAAAAGGAAAAAAGAAAAAACTCTGTAGTTCCTGGGTAGAGGGGGATCAATTCAAGTGAAGAGAGTAGTTTGTACTTTTTCTTTCTTAGTGGCAAACTTAACTTGGAAAAGGCAATTGATTGTTTAATAGAAATGAAAACATGAGAATAGAGATCATTTTAATGTGGAGAAAATGCCATTTCAAATATTTTATTATGATAAAATAGTTTTACTAAGCAAAACATTATAAATTTCAAGTAAAGAGGAGTAATGTTTTAATTAGTGGAAATTTTAGTGGATTTATATGCTAAACTTAAAATATGAATTTAAAGCATAATTGCATGTTTTAAATACTACACATTATAAACTATGTAGATGGACAATAAGAAGTAAAATAATGCAAATTGTTCTTACTTTTATAGGGCTGCCTTAAATAAAATAATGCTGTTATAAATGTGAAATCGTAAAAAAAATTAAGTTCAAACTTTCTACCCAAGGTAAAAACATGTACTCAGAATTTGTGAAGTTAGAATTCATAAGGTATTCTTCGATGCATACTTTGTGATCTATTTCTAAGGTGTCAGCATTTTATGATAGTAGCTAAGAAAGAAAAGTCATCATTAATAAGAATGATTTTGAAAAGTCAGAGTGTCAGGCTTGAAGTTCTAGAAACTCTTTATTACCTGACCCAGAATGGGGGAAGGTTGGGGGAGGTTAGTGACGGATGAAGATCTCATTTGTTTCTGAGACAAGGTTGACACTAAAAGCAGATTGCAAACTAAAGTCACTTAGAAAGTGGGTTTTTTGTTTTGTTTTCATTTGGAGTTTTGCTGTTTTGGAAAAATTTCTGTATCACTAATTTAGAAAAGTCTTTATTTTTGTTAATGTAAATAAGGAGTACATCTGATGAGAATGATAAATTAATTTCCATTCAATTCCATTCAACAGTAAATATTTATTTTATGGTCACCATATGTAAGACACTATCAGCCATGAAGATGACCTCAAGGAACTCACAGTGGAGGAGAAATATATACATAGATGCTGTATTACAAGGCGGAAGACATGGAGCTCATTATAAAAGGAATCACTGGAGTGCTTTCAGCATAGAAGAGAAGCAAACTAAGTTACTGATTTACTCGGAACACAGTGTATGATAAAATTATTTTCAAAGGGTAGGCATCCATTTATTTAAATAGGTGGTTGCTTTCTTTTTTTCTTTTTTTTTTTTAGAGGGAGTCTCATGCTGTCAACCCACCTGGAGTGCTATAGCGCAATCTCGGCTCACTGCAACCTCCACCTCCCAGGTTCAAGAGACTGTCCTGCCTCAACTTCCCAAGTAGCTGGGACTACAGGCACCTGCCACCACGCCCAGCTAATTTTTTTTTTGTATTTTTAGTAGAGACAGGGTTTCACTGTGTTGGCCAGGCTGGTCTCAAACTCCTGACCTCGTGATCTGCCCACCTCCGCCTTCAAAAGTGCTGGGATTACACATGTGAGCCACCGCACCCAGCCAATGGTTACTTTAAAAATGGCCTTTTCCCCTACTTACAAAGCTAATACGTGCTCAATGCAGAAACTTTGGAAACATAGCAAAATACAAAGGCATGGGAGATGGGGAGGAGACCAAATCACCTGCAAGTCCTCTACTTAAGATAACCACTGCTATCATTGTGGCTTATGTCCTTTTGGTATTTTTTCCAATGCTGATAAATGGAATGTTTAAATACTGACTCACTGTACCATTATATAGCTTGTTGTTTTCACATAACAATATATTATAAACACTATTCAGTTGATAAGCTTTTAACATTACTCTTTTGAAAAGTTTCTCAGTAATTTTGCATTCAGAATAAACATAACAGTGAATAGTCAACAGTCAAGGCTATACATACCTCCCTGGGACTGAGAATCTGTAATATGAAAAGTAAAAGATGAAGACCGTACACGCTTTCTTGAAAAACCATTACGTTCTGCAAGAAAAGCAATGGGAAGGCTAAAATTACTTGCAATAACAAAGTATCCTCAACTCATGATACGGTAGGATAAACAGAATTTTCTTTTGTCTACACAGATCATCATTTGATAACACATTAACCCTTCTATCACTATTTTAAATATTGGGGTTAATAGGTTGCTGATTGATTATAAACCTATAGGCATATCATGCTAGTATGAAACAATTAGAAATGACTGGTGTCAGCAATAATTTGTATATGCATTTTGAGGTCTACAGAGAATGTTTTTGATAGGCTGAGGGGCAGGGAGTGGAGCACAGTGAATTTTAGTCACTAACATCAGTGTTCTCAGGGACCTATATATCATATTTCAAAACAAAAGTGAATCTACTGGCATATTTTAAAAAAAGAAAAAACAGGCTGGGCGCGGTGGCTCAAGCCTGTAATCCCAGCACTTTGGGAGGCCGAGACGGGCGGATCACGAGGTCAGGAGATCGAGACCGTCC